AAGGAAGGAAGGAAGGAAGGAAGGAAGGAAGGAAGGAAGGAAGGAAGGAAGGAAGGAAGGAAGGAAGGAAGGAAGGAGAAAAGAAAGGGAAGAAAGAAAGAAAATCAGCCTCAAGGCAAAATGTAAAGTGAAACAAATTAAAATAAGAGAAAATATAAAGCCAAGCATTATAAGCTAATGATAAGTCTCCTTGTCATGATTTGAGAGCTGGTTGGTGGCCTAAAAGGAAAATCTCACTCTGCATGAGATCCCTTGAAAAGCACACCTATCACTATCTGTCAAAAATGGGTGAATTAGGCCAGAAAGTGGGTCTGTGTTTCTAACTTATTGCAACATTATTTTTAAAAGTCCACAAATGAAACAGGCATAGGTTACTTTTCTGATGGATACAGTGATACATGGATTTTATTATATATACACAAATGCTACTTACTCTGTCATAAACAGAATACAAGCCTGTTTCCCAACATCATGACAGAACTGAAGAATACTATGTTAAATATGTGAGGCACAGAAAGAAAAAATAGTTATTGTTTTAATCTATGTGGAAATTAAAAGCATTATTTATATAGATTTGAAATTAGAACAGTATTCACCACAGGTATGAGCAGGAGGACATAGATAGTTAAAAGACATTGCTTTAGTTGAGTAGGATAGGATAAATATTTAATATTAAGAAATTAAAATTTTTAAGATCTCATTTCACATATATAATTCTCTTTAACAAGAGTATATCTATACTTGGAAACACTTAGTTGTGTGCTTTAAAATAATTTGTAGAGAGGACTTTAAATGCCCTCTACACATAAAAAATGAAAATATTCAGCATGCCTGTAATTGAGCTATCACACTATCCAAATAAATATCTATAATAATTGGTTAAAATGTTTAAATGGGTTTTACTTGCTAAATAGTATGTTTCAAAATCACTATTTAATAATACCTCAAAAATCACTCAGTATTCAAAGAGATGGCTCAGTGGTCAAGAGTAGTTGCTACTGTTACAGAGGATCCAAGTACCGTTCTCAACACCTGGTTAGCAGGCTCATAGCTGTCTGTAAATTTAATTCCATAGATACCCACACTCATTGTCACCAACTCTATACACATGTGCACATTTGCATAAATAAAAGAAAATATTTACAAAGTCAATACAGTTCCAGACATCAAAGGTCAAGAAAAGTAATGATGTTATATTTCTTTATATTCTTAACTAAGTTTTGACAATCTCCATAGTAATGATTTAGCCATTGAATATATCTGAGTTAATAGCCTGTGGATTTCTACAATGAATGTGATCTTAAGAAATTAATATTTACTTGGGGCTGAATTCAAGAAAATAGCATCATTAGTCCTCCTAGGAGATACATTAGTAATCCAGGGTAGCACCAGAGTAGTAATCAATTTTTAATAATATAAAAGGTACTTTGATCTATACAATAAAGCATTAATGATAATTAATACCATATTTATTTCCTATTCTTCCTTTGTTTAGGTAGATGCAAATGAGTTTGGAAGTAAGCAATTCTTACAGAATCTGTTTGACATTTTTATTGTATTACAGCTTCGGTTTTACTGTGAATACCCTTGTTAACATAGTCTGGCAGACATTCAATAGCAAACTGTGTTCCAGGCAATGAATTTATAATTTTGTAGCAGAAACAACCTCGTGAATGGTGTGAGCCCTTATAGATGATGGAAAAATCAATAACTTGGATAAACTGGTAGCAAACTACCATATGTGCTCTTAGGTGCAGAGAAACTCAATACTGTACACTAAAATTACTTTCATATAGAAAATAGGTCAGAACATAAGTGAAACATTGTCATGTATAATTCACCGTTTAGTATAAAATCAATTATGTTAAAAGATATGTGTTACATTTGTAGTATGTTATGTTACATACAATTTAAATTTTTATTTGAGACGTTAAATGCATAGTTTAAATCAATGAAGAACATTTTATCACATGTATCATAAAATATGCTAAATATATTCTGTATTTTACTTATATTTATAAAATGTAGTAAGTATAAGAAAAATTCAGTTTTATGAAAATAGCCAATTTAATAAAATCTTGTTCATCTTTTATTTATTTATTTTTCATCCTGACTGCAGTTTCCCCTCCCTCCTTTTCATATATTCCCTCACCCCAACTTTCCTTCTACTATCCACTCCTCTCTGTTTCTATTCAGAAAAAAAACAGACCTTCCGTGGATATCAACAAAAGATGGTACATGAAATTGCCGTGAGACTAAGCACCTCGTCTTATACTAAAACTGGGCAAGGCAACCTAGTATAAGGAGCGGGTCTCAAAAGCCAGTAAAACAGTCAGAGACGGCATGGAACAAACTGAAGTCCCCTGCATATATCTGACAGTTGTGTAGCTTGGTCTTTAGGTGGGACTCTAATAATGGGAGAGGAAGTTGTCTCTGACTCTTGCTCATTCATTTCAATCAGTGATGAGTTACTGAACTACATTACTAATAGACTATTTTCTTTATTCCAGGGCGACAATAATTTTTATACAGGACAGATTATGACAACTTCTTTCCTAAGGTAAGATGGGTAAAACAGTTATGTTCTGAGGTACTAAACACTCTATTAACAAGAAATGCACCATAATTAAAATTTTCTGCTAGTAGCTGTATTTTGTTTTTTTCTAGGGATCTTATCATTAGTTCCATGATCATAATCCTTTTGTTATCTGAGTCTCTTTGGCAATAACTCTGAAGATGTTTCTAAGACAGCTACTGAGCAGAGTATGCATAGCTTGGTGTTTTAATTAAAGCAGAAATATGTTAACCATGAAAATCGAGTAATGCGATAAAAATGAAATATTGTTAAGACAAAAAATAAAGTATGCTAATATAAGTAAGCTGTGTCCTAGTGAGCCATTCACAGATATATTAATATCTTAAATTTTCCTAAACATACAAACATATTGGACTATTAATTTCCATGAACCTCTAGACTCTTCAGTTAATTTCATGGGTAGTTTTGTTCTGTCTGCTTTGTTAGTCACAAGTTGGCTCCACATGCCCAATAGCTTGGCCAGATTAGGAAAGCAAAGGTTTTTTATTATAAAGATGCTAACACTTGAAGCTTCATGTTTTTCAGATAAGTGTAAATAGAAATATTTTTCTTTTTTGACTTAAATTCAATAACTAACCTCTGCTAACCCTTTATTTCAAACTAATTTATGACATCTACAAATTTTCAATCTTTTCCTTCCATAATTCTGTTATGCTCCTATGATTTCTTTCCCTTCCCTAAAGCAAGGACTTTTTAGCCCATTAATCTCAGCAAACTATTAAGCCTTGTCAACAGAGAAAATGGGTAAGAACTTTGCGTGAGCAATTTGAAGAAAAAGAAGTAATTGGTGTTTCTCTTCTGATCTTTTATACTCCTCAAATAATATGACTTATAATGCTTTTGAGATTGAGGTAATTATTATTATTACATAGTGCATGTCTAAGAAAACAGTATGTAAAAAGCCTATTTTAAATATATGAGGTTTTGCTGGAGGAATTTCTTCATTAGAGATGGTCTGTGAAGGTTCATGAACTCAAGCCTCTTTTTTTCTGTGTGTGAATGAAATGTGATCTCTCTACTTTCTGCTCCTGCTACTATGCCTTCTCCACCTGTGATGGATTCTACCCTTCTGTAACTGTAATCTAATATAAACCCTCTCTTCTTTAAATTGTTATTTTTTTTGGCCAGGATATTTTATCATAGCAAGAAAGAGTAACCAAAACACTCATGTTGATTTTGTATATAGGAAAGTATCTGTCTTTGTCACCCCATGGCATGTAGTGTATACTTTTACTCTTTCAGCTTTTCCGGGGTCCCATCACCCAGCTCAGAAATTAATCACACACAGGCTTATTATTACCTATAAATGTCCAGCCTTAGTGTTATTTGTATCTTGCCAGTTTTTCTTGTCTTAAATCATCCCAACTACCTTTTGCCTTTGAGTTTTTATCTTTCCCTTCCGCCACGGCTGCTGGGTGCCTGGGTGCCTCGTCCCTTGCATCCTTTCTCTCCCTGTTGTCTTGTTGCTCTTCTTTTGTCCACCCAGATTTCTTCATTTGTTTATTCTCTCTGTCTGCTAGCCCCACCTATCTTTGCTCCTGCCTCGCTGTTGATCATTGAGCTCTTTATTATGACCATCAGACATTTTAGACAGGCACAGTAACACAACTTCATAGAGTTAAAAAATACAGTGTAAATAAAAGTCACACACTTGAAAATAATATTCCCCCAACATTACCCTTTTTTTTATCTAACACAACTTAAAAATTTTAGATATAACATAGTAAGATTGTACACAGCAAGAACAATTATCAAGTAAATATTACATTCACAATGTACTAAATTCCAATTCATTTGTTGTCTGATAAACTTAAAGAAATGCTTCATTATCCTACCTTAGAAAATCTAAAATTTCATACCTAATGTAGTTGCTATAATATCTAAGAGAAACTATAATTATAACTATCTAGTCTGCAATTCAATCAAAGGAACCAGAAGGATATGATATCATTTAAATACACAAAAAGTGCATTACAAATAACTTCTAAAAACTCTAGAAATGACAGAAACATTTGGCTCTCTGAATAGTCACCCAAAGTTCCTTTGCAATATTGGGCTTCTATTTTCAGCCTATAGGCCCCTTGTATCTGGGAGACTTTTTAATAAAGTAGGAAGTTTGAAAGACTGTCCTGTCTATATTGTTGTATGTCAGTAACTGTCCTTTGTGTCCTGCAGAATGTCTGGCAGTCTCTTCTGTGAAGTAGGAACCATGAAGGACCATCCTGCATTTTTCAGTTTGGCAAAGTTCACTGGTCCCTTTCCTTTGGGTTCTGCATGTCTAGTTCATACAACGTACTGTCAAGCAGTCCAAGCAAGAGCAGCTTCTTGCCCACTTGACTAATCTTGCCACAATAACAGCAAATTCCATAAGGAGTTCCTTGAGTGCCCATAGTCCCTGAAGTAAATTGGTGTTGACAGAAACAGATGTGTCTCATTTTCATGAAAACCATAACTTAACAAACCATTTAAAGTGCCACATTCTATAGGTCTTTGAAAGGTTTGAAGACCATCTATTTAAATTATATCTCTATATAATCTGGAAATCATACCTAGCATATCTACAAAATTGATTGTCATAGATAACTATTAACCTGTGTTTGATTATCCTAAATAGTTGCTAATAACAACTTTCAAAAACAGGAATTTTACCCTACATTTTTAAATGAACTGCATAGGTACAATACCTTAACCAAGAGCAAAACATATACACAATATGGTGTAACAAAAAGAATATTAAATTGGTGTCAATATACAAAATCATTTTAACAAGAGTAGAAACATATATGCAGTGTGTTGTAATAAAAATTGCCTTAAATTTGTATCAATATACAAAATTCCTTTAAATAAAACTAAAAACATATATACAATGTAACAAAATTGACTTTAAATTTGTACCCATAAACCAAAACCTATGTCAATACAAAAATATCATCTTAGACTAATAGTTGTCTTTTTATCCTATCCCTCAAAATATAACAAACATCCATGATCCACAAAATAACCAAAGACTACCCACAGTCCCTTTTCCCTTGAGAATGTGGACGTTTCAGTATGCTTCCTGCTCAATGTTGGTGAAGTATTTTTCAGATCCCAAAGAGAAAATTTGAGATAAGGGTCAAATCCTCGGAAGAATACCTATAGCTGTTATTGATAGATATCACTTGTAAGTTTCAAGAGGTCTCCCCTGATCAAACCCAATGCAAATTAATATGGAAAAAATCCACAGCCTCTTCTCCAAAGCATTTTCTATTTCCATTCGACAAGTACATTTTTTTGACTTTTTAAAAATTTAAGACATTCATAAAATGTCTAGGCTGTTTTATTCCCACAGCCCCTCTTTCATTTCTAGGTCTCTAAGCAGTCGTCCTTTGCTTTTCTGCAATCAAAAAATTCAAAATCAACACAACAGCATATAGGATTCAAATGTCCTGTGTGTTTCTCTTCTTTACATGCCTTTTTTTCCTTTTACAGTACTTTTACCGTTTCTTGAAAATGTCACTTTATTATTTTTAACCTTTTTTTGTTTTTTTTTCTATGGCTGCCTATAACCATTTTCTTTATTTCTTAAGCCTACGCACATTGTAAAACACGCTGGAACCTGTTTAGAGGTTTTCCGTCTGGAACTTTTTTACTGTATATCAAAACGTCTTTTTTGACCCCAGGAGCAACCATTAGACTGTTAAATTACTAAACTGGATAGTTCGCATTCTCCAGCAGCTGGCTCTGCCCAGTTTGGGGTTGAATCCTGAGACCAACCTAAAGCTTGTGCCCTGCTGGAGGTCCTGACCGAGAACTACATTAAACCTTTCTAGCTATGGAATCTGGTACTTGAATAGCCACAAGTGGTTTTTACTTAGCTTGCCTTTTCTAGTTTCTATTTAGTGCGCCCAGCTGAACAGCAGTGCCTATTTTAAAGGGGCTGCATACTTTTTGTTGTTGTTGTTGCTGTTTCAGCCTTTTCAGGCTCTAGATGCATATTCGAGCCCCAAGTTGGTACACCAAAATATTGTGTGATGTTTACTTCTTTTGGCCCACCATCCAGCTCCCCCAAAAAGCACACAGAGATTTACTATTACTTTTGAATGCCTGGCCTTAGTGTGGCTTGCTTCATTGCCAGCTTTTCCTATCTTAAATTGTTCCAACTACCTTTCGCCTCTAGGCTTTTATCTTTCTCTTCTGTAAATCTTACTCCATGGGTACTGGCCTTTGCACTCTCCTGTCTTTGTTCTCTTGTTGCTCTTCTTTTTTCCACCCAGATTTCTTCTATTCATACACTCTTGCCTGATAACCCTGCCTATCCTTGCTCCTGCCTCGCTATTGGCTATTCACCTCTTTATTAGGACCATCAAGTGTTTTAGACAGGCACAGTAACATAGCTTCACAGAGTTAAACAAATGCAGCGTAAACAAAAGTCACACACCTGACAATAATATTCCCCAACAAGAGTACAAACATTTAAAAGTTCTTTTGTTGTTGTTGAATAAGTGTATAAGCATTCCAAATGGTTTAAAACAGTCATATTCTAGGCAAGAAAATGTCATTATTATGATCTTGTACTTGAACCACGAAGGTATTTGTTTTTGTCATTTAATTCTAAGATTACAATTGTGTACTATTCATTATAGTGAGCTCATTTGATTAAAATAGCTTTTTAAGAGAAAACTAATTTTATGTCTGGGAAACAGGTTTATTGTGTGTGTGAGAGAGAGAGAAAGGGAGTGTGTGGGGGTAGTTGTGTGTTTGTGTTTCAGTGTGAGGTATGCTTATGCAAGAGCACATGCATGTGCAGGCACATGCACACATTTATCTGTGTTTGCTCAGGCCAGAGGTCAACCTCAAGTTCCATTTCTTAGAAAAGCTATCAACCTACTTTGTGGCAGGTTCACTCATCTTCTTGAATTTCACCAGTTAGGCTGGACCAGTGATTCTCAACCTTCCTAAGGCTGAAACACTTTAATACAGTT